GGAAAGCACTTAGCCCAGAGACCCCCATACTCGTCCTGGTCCCTCCCTCCAGGAGCCTCATTCTTCTGTGTGGTAGATTCCTGTCTCTTCTGCCTTCAAGAAGGTACATCCCTGTTCGGCAGGTTTCATGTGTTTACTCTGTGAAAACCTATGAGACTCAGCTACCCCCATCCTTCCCAGTTTCCCACCTCATCCTACAGTTCCCACACCTGGCAAGTCCCACCTTGCCTCCTGCTTTTTTTTTTTTTTTTTTGACGGGGTGGGGGAGAGGTGGAGGAGTAGAAAGAGAGAGAATCTTAAGCAGGTTCCATGCCCAGCATAGAGACCTACGCAGGGTTTGATCCCATGACCCTGAGATCGTGACTGAGCCAAAATCAACAGTCAGACCCTTAACTGAGGGAGCCACCCAGGCGCCCCACCCCTGTTCTCTGCTAAGCACTGTTGCAGACTTTCACCGGAAATGGGAGGATGTCCTGAATTGGGCTCCAGCCTACCCTCACTGTCCATATAACCTTGCACAAACCCCTCCACCTCTCTGAGCTTCCCATGGCTCATCTGATATGTGGGGTTTTTAATGCATTGTACAGGGTCTGGGTAGGGCGTAATTCTGACCCAAAGAAGATGCTCAGGAAATAAGGGCCCTTAAAATTATCGCCTTAACTGTGTCTTAATTATCTTAGCTAATATTTAATAAACTCATCCAATGAACCAGACTCTATGTTCTGGGACAGGTGATGACACCATTCTCTCTTGACAGAGGGGAAACCAAGGCTAGGAGATGTTAGGTAATAAGCCTGCTCAGCTAGCAGGTGGTGGAACCAAGCTAGACTCCGGGACTGATTAACGATCATTTACCCATGATGCTGTCCACCAACTAACCTGGGGTGTTTTGTTCTCGAGTCACCCCACTGCCTGACCCAAGGACGCCCCCCCACACTCTAGAACAGAGAGTTCTACACTCACTTCTTCAGGGAGGTGAACCAGCAGAAAACTTCACAGTCGACCATATGACCGGGGGGGTCCTTTTATTTATAGATTTCCAGATAGTGCTTGGTGTGCACATGAATCCAGGGATCTTGGCCAGGAACCATGGCTTGAAGAACTGAATTCTTGAATCCTTCCCATCCAGAGGCCTGTTTCCACATCAGCAAAATAAGAAAGTGGGGCGAACTAGACTAGATGGTCTGGAAGACTCTCTGGAGCTCTTGGATGCATTCATTTATTCATTCATTGTGCTGACTAGTATTTATTGAGGCAGTATAGGGCAGTGGTTAAAGGCAAAGACTTTGGACTCTGGCACACCCAGGTTGGAATCCCCAATCTGCTGCTTGCCAGCTGTGTGACGGTAGACAAGTCACCTAACCTCTCTGAGCATCAGTTGCCACCTTTGCAAATCATGACTAATAATAGCACTTACCTGAAGAAAGGGATGGGGGTTAAGTGACTCTAGTTGTGTATGGCGCCTTGTGGGGACAGCCTCAGCTCTCATCTCAGGGGCTCACAGTCCAGAGGGGAAGACAGACCAATCCCCAACTCAGAGTGGGCAGGACTGGGATGTGGTCACCTAGAGAAGCTGACCCAGGGGTTCAGCCTGAAGGTCTAGAGGGCTTCCTGGAGGAGGAGACATTAGAGCTGAACAGTGACAGCCATTGTAACCACTCAAGATACAGGAGTCACCCATGTGAAAACTTACTATTGGTCCGTGGACATTTAGAGCAAGGAAATAGAACGTGGTCTGGAGGGCCACACCACCTCCGTCCATTCATTCATCTTTTTCTTTTTTTAAGATTCTGTATATATGTTTTAAGTAATCTCTACACCCAATATGGGGCTTGAACTCACAGCCCCCCAAGAGTCGCCCACTCCATGGACTGAGCCAGCCAGGCGCCCCCATTCATTCATCTTGTTAATATCCCCTGCTCTGAGCAATGCCCAGCCCTGCGCTGGGCAATGCTGGGGACACATCAGTGCCCAAGACAGCCCTGATCCTACCTCCCAGGGCTCATGGATTACCACTGAGGACAGATATCAAACAAGTCATTATCCAAAGCATTACTTCAGAAAGGAAATTGCAAAAAGCTAGGAAATCGTATGGCAAGAATACTTTTCCTGTGATATTCATGAATTTCCTCCCTTTGTTGCCTCCCAACCATGAGCCCATCTACAGAAAAAAACACATTCACTCAATAAGCATTTTTAAGTTCTTTCTGAAAGCATAACATGTCGTTTCCCATTGGGGATTTTTAACACACTTTGGTCAGACTTTGCTTCCTGAGCAAACTGAGACAATGTGAGCTGATGGGGACAGCCCCACTTCCCCTATCCAATCAGCAGCAAACAGAAGAGCATCCTAAAATACATTTCTCCTATGTCCCTCCCCTGCTTATAGCCTTCAGTGGCTCCCTATTGCTCTGAAAGCAAAGACCAATGGACTAACTTTGACCTCTATCTTATTCTGTAAGACCCAATACTTGCTTTATCAAACATTTTGAAATGTCTCTTTAATATTCTAAAATTAGGGGTACCTGGGTGTCTCAGTTGGTTCAGCATCTGCCTTGGGCTCAAGTCATGATCTCGGGGTCCTGAGATCAAGTCCTGAGACAGGCTCCCTGCTCAGTGGCGAGTCTGTTTCTCCCTCTCCCTCTGTGATCTCTCTCTCTCTCTCTCTCTCTCTGTCTCTCTGACAAATAAACAAATTCTTTTAGAATAAAACTTAATAATAATAGGGCACCTGGGTGGCTTAGTTGGTTAAGCATTTGCCTTCTGCTCAGGCCGTGATCTCCGCATCCTGAGACTGAGTCCCACATCAGGCTCTCTGCTCAGCAGGGAGTCCTGCTTCTCCCTCTCGCTCCCCCTCTGTGCTCTCCTGCTCTCAAATAAATAAATAATCTTACAAAGTAAAATAATAATAATAATAATAATAATATTCTGAAATGAAACTCACAGGTAATACAGACCACCAACACACAGGTTTTATTTTTAAAAAGTAATATCGTGTCCTGAGTTACAAAAGGGAAATAAAAGACAGCCATTCATAATAAGATAATAATCTATTTTCATGTATGAATGCTCAGAGAAGGCCAATCTAAAACACATCTCATTAGGCAGATACTAGCATCTCTGTGGAGACTCCCACAAATGAGACAGGGACAACTGTGTGTTGTTTGGACAGTTGCCACAGTCAGCATAGCCTGGGGTGGCGGGGCTTCTAGAAATAGTGAACAGCTCTGAATAACAAAGTGCACAGTGGTTGCGTTCCAGGAAAAGTCGGTGTATCCGAAAATACCGTAAGAGCACTAGCATTTATATGCAAAACACAGCTAGGTTCTAGACTCAGATCATCACAAATGCATTTTTCTACATATGTGGGTGCCCAGTGGGGACACTGGATGGTAACGTGGGGCCCAAGATGGATCTTGGTCATGTGGATCGTGGAGTTCTCCAGCATCCGCGGTCCCTGCCCCCTAAATCCAGTCACTGCCAATGACCGTGACAAACCCAGAGGGCTTTGCCGAAACATCCCCTAAAAGCAATCTATGATCTGACGGCTTCCAGCCCGTACACGCAGGGCTGGCTTATCTTGGATCCTTGCTCTGTTCTTTCCACCCCACCGCCCTTGCTGTCCCCCAACTTCAGGGTTCCATATCTTGTGTCCCTCTTTCTGGAAGGTTCTTCTTTGTGGTCTCACCTTCCAGGCCATTACCCCCCAGCCCCGTCTCCCTCGGAGCACCCTGTTTATAGGTAACCGGGTGTCTTGGGGTCTTCTGTTTTCTAATTTGCTGGCTGTTCCCCCCAATGGGCTGGTAGCTCGTGAAACGGGCGCCAGATTCGCTGTGGTCACTAGTGAGTGTCCCGCATCCAATGACATAAGGAGCCTCAGTAACTCTGCCCTGAGTGGTCAAGGCGACCGATGAGGCTAGTGGAGGAAGAATTCCTGGAAGGGGGTGTGGGCAGGAGGCAAGCTTTTTCTTGGCCCCTGAGGTCAGGGAGGAAGTGGGACAACACACAGGGTCAAAGTGGGGCATTGTAAGTGAGACCGTGTCAGGCCATGGTCCTCTGCTACCTCTAAGATCAACTCCCAGTATTTCTAGAGTCAGACTGGGCGTGAATTCCAGCTGTGCCACTCCCCTGCTGAGCAACCTTACGTACATTCCTTAACCTCTCTGAGCCGCACATCGGTCTCCGTAAAATGCAAGCGATAATGCCCACCTCCCTGAGTGGTCACAAGGCTGACATCATGGGGATCTCACAGATCGCACAGATCTCATTTCTGGAACGTAGATCTCGTTTATACGGCATCGAACACCGTAGTGTGATTCAACAAATATGCTGAATATTTGGCTCCCAGTTCAGGACCTGGGTCAAAGGCCCAGCTCTGTCACGTGCACGCTCTGTGACTCCAGGCCAGTGAGTATCCCTCTCTGAGCTTCAAGCAACTCGCCTATCACTGGGGGCTCGTAACTGCGTTTCCCACATAAACGCTGTGAGAATGAGACCAGATCGCGCAGGTAACTGCTGTGCAACACAGTGTCTGGCCCGGGGTAAGGACCTGTTATCATCATCAGGAATGGCCCTGGAGTATCTGGAGGCCCGTAGCCTCGGACTAAGGGAGGATAGGGGGCAAGGGTGTATCTGCACACATGGAGCTATATGGAATGGGTAGGGAAACTGAGGCCCAGGGAAAGGAAGGGCTTTTCCAGGAGTCGCAGAGGCAGAGCAATGACCACAGACAAGGGGAAGGGCCTCCTTCCCCCTCTTGGTGGGGGATTACAGTCGGATGAGGAGCAGGACCCTGGGCAGGGAGTGGGCCCTTTAAATCCTAAGCTCCACCTTTGTTTAGAAGGGTCTTTGGGGGAGTATAAAAGGGGGGTGCAGTTCCTCTCTGCTCCAAAAAAGCACCTGCTGCTCTTGCCCAACGGCCCCCAAACCCTGGCTTCTCTCTAGCCACCCCCCTCTTCCCGCCCCCCGCCCCCCGCCCCCCCCCCACCCGCCTGGGAGCCATGCAGCTGCCGCCCTTTGACATGTGGAAGGACTACTTCAACCTGAGCCAGGTGCTGTTGGCCCTGATCCAGAGTGGGGGACAAAGGCCCAAGGCCCAGGGGAATGGGGACCCGAGGCCCGGGCCCTCTCTGGGGCTGGAGCAGGGCGTGGGAGCACCAGGGGCCGGCAGAGGCCTGGCCACCCTGTGTAATTTCTGCAAGCACAACGGGGAATCGCGGCACGTCTACTCCTCACACCAACTGAAGACCCCAGAGGGCGTGGTGGTGTGCCCTATTCTGCGGCATTATGTGTGTCCCCTGTGCGGGGCCACCGGGGGCCAGGCCCACACGCTCAAGTACTGCCCACTCAACGGCGGCCAGCAGTCTCTCTACCGCCGCAGCGGGCGCAATTCGGCAGGCCGCAAGGTCAAGCGCTGAGGACACAAGGTGCCCACCCCACAGCAGCCCCCCGATCCTCCTGGTCCAGTCCCCACCAAGTCCCCGGACCCTCCCCGCCAACGCCCCCAGCCCTCGGGAGCTTCTGGCTCCCAGAGCTCCGTCCCTGCTGGATCCTGAAACACTGGAGACTACTGGGAAACCAGGCCAGCTCTGCCCACCCCGGGGACCTCACAGGCCTTAGAGTTCTGAACTGGGGGTGTCTGTGGATTCTGGGTGCAGCAGGACTGCACGGCCTTGGAGCTCCTTCTGGGCCCCCCGTTCAAGGCTCTTTTCGTCTTTCCTGGGCTGCTGGGGATGCGAGCACTGCCTGCCCCCATGACTTCTCAGCCCTGTGGTTCCATTCCTTCTGGAATTCCTGGACCAGTGGACCTACAGGACCCAGCGTGCTCTCCCAGGCCCGCCCTTAGAATTTGGAGAGAGTGAGCAAGACTGGCTTGGACGCTCGAGCTGAGAACTTCCAAGATGGGATTCTGACGCGAAACCTGCCTTGTCCACCTTCTTCAGCTACCTGTAGACCCACCGGTTTCATCACAGACCTCCCTGGACTATTCCTTCCCTGCCCCAGCAGCCCATTCCATCAGGAGCTGGGAAAGGGAGGGGACATGATGCAGTGTGTGGGGGGGGGGATGCGGGGGAGGGACCTGGTCTTCCAAGGTTTCTCTGGGAGTGGAGAGCCTTGGGGTGCGCGGACACCCCTCAGCTCCCCCTGGTCGACCTTCTTGTTGATTCTGTTTCACTGCACTCTCATCCCCAACCACAAGTCACCGCTGGGCGGTTCCCAAGCAGGAGGAGGGCATCTCTCCACGGCCTCCCTTCCACCTTTCAAATCCTCATGGCTTGTTAAAGGTCTTTTTTTTTTCCCCTCCCATTTTTTCCCCATCCTCCAACACTTAATCCACGAAGCTCTGACAAAAAAGGGGTTTTAGTGCCCACTTGAGAAAGGCAACTGCCTCGGTTTTCTTTTAGGGGAAATGAAAAGAAAGAGCTCCAGTCAGATCGTAAGTTGCTCATTTTTTGGCTCAGGGCTGGGGGCCTGGTGTTCAGTTCTGGTGAATAAAGAGCGTTTCTGGTTGTCTTTGAAATCACTCTGGTTCTGTCTTCTCCCCTGGAGACTGGGGGAGGGAGCCACGTTTGCCCCAGTAGGGAGGCAGAACAGGAAGGGGTCCTGGGTTCCTCTAAAGATATGCCCCCCCTTCACGTTCCCTGACACAGGTCACCTAGGGACTGGTTCCCGCGTCCAAGCCTCCACCTTATCCTCAGATTCCTTTTCCATGCCCTTCCTGGGGCTCTGTCCAGGGTCTCCCTCCCTCCCCGCTAGACCACAGGTCTTCCAGGACCAACTTGATGGGAGTTCTTTTTTGTTTGTTTGTTCATCTTGTTTTAAAGATTTTACTTATCAAAGAGCACACAAGCAGGGGGAGCAGCAGGCAGAGGGAGAAGCAGGCTCCCTCATGTGGGACTCCATCCCAGGACCCCAGGACCACAACCCGAGCCAAAGGCAGGCGCTTAACCAACTGAGCCACCCAGGCATCCCCTTGATGGTAGTTTTTAAACTTCGGCTCCCAGATCACCTTTGGAGAGGTGATGGGAAAAAATGATCCTTGGCCCCTTGAAAATCCACATATGCACAAGTCATCTGAGGGTTTCTTTTATCCCAGCAGGCCACAAATACTTATTGATTGCTTACCTTGTGCCAGGCATCTTTCGAGGAACTGGTGGGTACAGCAGGGAACAAAGATGACATGTGAGCAAAATCCAAACGAAATGAGGCAAGCAGAGACTATCTGGAGGAACGGCATTCCGGGCAGAGAGGACAGCAGATTCAAAGGCCCTGCGGTGGCGGGAGGCCGGCTGAGTCATAAGAGTGAAGGTCAGAGAGTCACATGGGAAGGGCAGTTGAGATTCTTGCAGACCCTGGTGAGAACTTGACCTTTATGCCCCCCCCAACCCGACCCCCCGCCCCAGACCATGATGTGCACCATGGGCCCCTTCGTACCTTAGTATGTACCTTAGTCACACAGAGACCAGAGATCCCAGTTTAGGACCTTGCAAAAACACAGCTCTGCACACAACAGAGACCACCCCCCAAGTTAAATTAAACAATAGATAAAAAGAGGACTGACTCCGCAACCCCAGAGCTGTGGCATGTCCCTGACAGCAGGGTGAGCCCCAGAGGAAGAGGGAGCTGCATCGGGCAGGAAGGTGATGGCCTTTCAGATGGGGCTATGGAGGAGAGCCTTGTAGTTTATAATAAAGGGACCGTGTCTGACAAAGTGTGGGCAGCAGATGCGGAAAGGGAGAAAGGGTGTTGCGCACCGTACTTGGGGACATTACAAAGGGTTGGGGGGACACTTTAGACCCGGAGAAGTGAGAGGGAAAGATGCTGAGGCAGGTCTGGAGTGTGGAGCGTAAGAGGTTCTTGGGGACAGCCACAAGTGCTTCACAAGGGGATGCATCCCGGAAGCTTCTAGACACCTGCCATGGAGCTCAGAGGAGACAGCTGGAGACAAGCAGTGGTTGTCAAGTGTGTGGGTTGCTGGGGTTTTTTTGGGGGTTTTTTTTGAATGAGTTAAGTCATTTATGCAACACATAATTAAGTGGCATGGTAGCTGACAGAAGGTGGGACACTAAAGAAGTCAAGGGAACAACAGACCCTGAACCCCATCTCCTCCAGCTCCTCGCACCTGTAGAGCTCCGTGCACCTGTGTGCAAGGTTCCCTTACCAGAGGCTTCTCATGACCTCCACACCGGACCGAGACCCAACTCCCCACTCAGCCCAGACCCTCCATGAGTTACCACATCCCGGCTGCATCCCCGGGATGCCCAGGGAAAGGGAGAGGTCTGGGTGACATGCAGGTGTCTGCTGCAGGTTCCAGTTGGGGTACAGGGTCAGTTAGGACATGGTGAGCATAAGGTCCTCAATCAGTGTTATGAGTTGAATTCTGTCCATCCTCCAAAAAGATATGTTGAAGTCCTAACCCCCAGTACTTCAGAATGTGACCCTCTTGGACATAGGGTCGTGGGAGATGAAATCAGTTACGATGAGGTCATATGGGAGTAGGGGGCGCTCTTAACCCAACATGACTGGTGTAATTATAAGCAGAGGGAAGTGGGTGGCTCAGTCGGTTAAGCATCTGCCTTCAGCTCAGGTCATGATCCTGGGGTCCTGGGGTCGAGCCCGGAATCGTGGGTCTCCCTGCTCTGCAGAGAGGCTGCTTCCCCCTCTGCCTCTGTCCCTCTCGCCGCTCACGTGCTCTCCTCCTCGGTCTCTCGATCTCTCAAATAAGTAAATAAGCTCTTCAAAAAAAAAAAGACCCAGGGCAGCCAGAGGCCGCAAGAAACACGGAAGGATCCTCTTCTGGAGCCTTCAGGAGGGCAACATTGCCGGCAGCTTGGTTTCAGGATTTCTAGCCACCAGAACTGGGTGAGTATATTTGTACTGTTTTAAGACACCCACTTTGTGGTATTGTGACAGCTGCCTTTGGAAACTGAGGCAGGCATCCCTGAGAAACGAATACACGGGGCATCCCGGGGAGGCATTCAGGATGCTCTTTGCACACGGGGGCGGGGGGGCTGGGTTGAGAGGGGAGCTGGGTCTAAATCAGCTCGTGAGAAGGCTAGAGACAGGGAGCCGTGGGCGGAAGTGAGGCTTAGGGAGCTCTGCAGGTATGGGTAAGTTGAGGCAGGATGCAAGCAGGCTGGCATCTTCCTGCACCTCCCCCGCCCTCATGAACACAGAGGCAAGGCAGGTAGGCAGATGGATAACTCATGAGGCAGCCTCTTGGGCTCAGATCAGGCAGACAAGGGGCTGGGTGGGCTGGGAGGGCCACCCCAGAAATGTCTGTGCAAGGGTGTTTTGGGGCCACTCAGCTCCTCTAACAGAACAGAGGAGGAGACAGAGGCCGCCCTCCATGCAGAGAAGCAAATGCTTACAAGTGACCTCCTCCCTCCAGATCCACTCTGGGCTTAGGAGCGGCCATTCTGCACCCACTTAGTGCTGGGGAAGGAAAATCAGATCCACTCAAGATTGATCTAGAAGCCCACAGAGTTCCCACTGTGTCCCCGAAGCTTGCAAGCCTAAGACTGAATCCCTGAACCTCAGCTTCCCACTGTGCGCAGTTGTGTGGGTCTTGAAAAATGAATCTGTGCATCCGCGGACGTCCAAGTGTCCTGGTGAGGCGTACCTAGAAGTTAAAGCTGATTTCCACTGTTGACCAGAATCGGGGCCATTCTAGAGGATTTTGTTCTTTCTTTTTTTTTTTTTTTGAAGATTTTATTTATTTATTTTACAGATTGAGAAAGCATGCATAAGCAGGGGGAGCAGCAGAGGGAGAAGAAGAAGTAGGCTTCCCACTGAGCAGGGAGCTTGATATGGGGCTGGATCCCAGGACCCCAGGATCATGACCTGAGCCGAAGGCAGATGCTTAACCCACTGAGCCACCCAGGCATCCCCATTCTGGAGGATTTCGTACGAAGCAGAGGAAAAGGTAGGTCCATTAACTAACGTCTTTTTAACTTTAATCTGTATTGGGCACGCCAAGAGTTTCACTTTTTAGGTTTCTCATCCTGTTGCTTTCTGTCTTTCAGTCTGTCCTTTTGGTCTCCTCCCTCCCTTCCTCTCTTTACCTTTCTTTTCTTCCCTCTCCTCTCCCACCATTCCTTCCTTCCCTCTCCTAGTCATTCTGACAAATGCGAACTTTTCTCCCAGATTCCACCCTCACCATGTACCACTACCAATGAAATACCTGCCTAGATGTTTCATCACGTCCGAAACAGAAATCCTGTCCACTCTACCCTCAGAATACACCCAGAATCTGACCATCTCCCCCCAGCCCACTACTACCTACTTGATCCCCACCACAACTTCTCACCAGGACTGAGGCAGTCACCTCCTCACTGGTGTCCCTGCTTGTGCTCTTGGCCTCCTACAGTATATTTCAAAACCCAACAAAAGTGATCCCATTAAAACACAAGTCTAC